ATGCAAAATAATACAATTTGTATTGTATGAAGCCACTGTTGAAAAATGGCAAAATATATTTCTTTAGATGCATTGCTGAGTCAGTTTTTGAAGTTTTATTTCACCTCATTTACATGATTACGTTAAATGCTAAACTTTATTTTCAGCACACTTTTAAAAATTAATAAAATAATTTTAATTAATAATAATAATTAGCATGCAAAATAATGACAAATTATAAGTACTTTACAGTAAATAAAATATATAAAAACACACAAAATAAAACACCATAGACAGTAATATAAAGCAAAAAAAAATAAAAAAATAAACAGAAAAATGTGCCACAGAAATTGCGTTAAGGTGAAGAGAAGCCCCTACCGAGAGTTGCAGCCTGAGCTGAGGCTGGCGGTGAGCGGTGGGTGGTCTGCCTTCTCCAGCTCTGAGGTGGAGGCCGACGACGACTGGGACGACACGGACTCGTTGCTGCCCATCGAGGTTTCATCTGCTGTCAGGGCGGAACCGTCTCCCGTTGCTGAAAACACAAAAACAGACAATAAGAACAAATAATCTCCGTCTAATCAACAAGTTTGTTAATAACATGTTTTTATGGTTTGTATTCCACATAGACTCAGCCCATACAGCTCAGTGATGAAAGCTTGTTTGATAAAGCAGCTGAATAATTAATCAACACAAAGGGAACAGCGTATCATCAGGGGTCTTTAGAAACCAAACCTTTGTCAAAACAAGCGAGACAACAAGGTTCACTGTGTTCCTGGTGATGCAGTCAAAGGCAGGAACCCAAGCGACACCTGGGAGAACCAACTTCTTCTATCCACTTTATTTATTAAAAAACATTTAAGTACAAACAAACTTCTTTTTCAACAAGTAAATACAAGTATGCTCTAACTATGTGGAACGATGTGTGTATAGTTAAGCCTGTTGGAATTGATCGTTCAGTTAATCACATAATAAATTAACTAAACAGCATTTAGTTGACCTCTTAGAAAAAGAGAACTTAATAAATGAACATTTTTTAACAGGCAATTTTGTTTACAGAGACTTGACTATACGCTTCATTTATGGTTTTGGTTGTCATTTTTATTTCTGGTTGTTTTTTATTTTGGATATTTAAAGCATCTTTCAGTTGCATTGTGAGGTGTTCTTTAAAAAATAATGTCTATTGGTCTCTCAGTGAACAAAATTGCATTATTATGCAATTATCAATATATAATTTGAAAATAAATGGTCTCAAAGCATCAATATTATTCATTTCTTTATTTTTTTTTGCAATAGTTTCTAGACAATTTGTTGTCCAGTAAAATTTGTTATTGTGGATAGTTAAATAGCTCCTATTTTGTTAATTTGTTTCAATACCAAATGATGGAGATGAAATTCAACCGAGCATCATTTGAATAAATGGATAAATCAGCGTAAAAAAGTTTTTCTATATTGATTTAATGGGTGCCTCTGAAATTAGAATGTAAAACAGTTAATTTACTTAAGGAAGTCCATTCAAGAATGTTCTATAGATTCAAGCATGTGTTTCATAGATCAGCTAATGAAAATGGAATCTGAGAGAATGTAATTGTTTTAGTAACACTAACTTAAAAGTATTTATAATACGGGAATGTTGGCTTCTGTTCTATCTGTCCATTCTCAGCGGACTCCAGGTATTTGCAGGGGATAGGGACCATGAATAGTTAAAATCCACAAATAATCGAGTCCCCCTCTAAAAATGACTAGACCTATTGTAATAATTCAAAAGCTAAATATATCTTATGCATTAATACGGACAGTAGAAATGCCATCGCAGAAGCTAATATCTACGACAGATATCTAATATCTTCATGGAATGTCGCTCCTGAGTTAGCTGCTATGGTAATGGCAGCCGATAGCGTTTCACTGCATCTCAGCAGGTTAGCATCCAAAGCTTTAAAAATTAAAGCTAATTTCCTAAAGTAAATACCATCAAGTAAATTATGAAATATTTCTTTTTTGAACAGGTCATGTACTTTGTGAATCTAAATGAGCTTTGTTTAGCTGACGTGAAGGTAAAAAAGGCTCTTTGGAGTGTAAAAGCTGCAAACTCCTGCTCTGAACAGCAGCCAGTAGATTGTCTTTGGGGTTTAGGTTGGAGCAGTTTTCTGGCTATTCAAGCAGAGTGATATCATGGTCAATAAAGCAGGTATTGGTACTTTTGGCAGTCAAATGGTGCTGCTGGAGAAATTAAATTAGCATTTCAATAAAACTCGTCAGAAGAAGAAAGTGTGAAGATGTGCACAATCACTTACAGTGGAAAATGCACACCAGAACTCAAGCAACTTTGATTCTGCGACTCTCCACTCTCCCACCAAGACTTTGATCTTAAAATACAATGAAAAATTTATTACTATACTATTTGAAAAGAAAACGTAGGTCCACTGAAGCGCAGGAAAGACTCTTGATGTTGTGTCTGGTTCCAGAGTTATAGTCCTTTAAGTCTGTGAATGTTGAATCTTAAAGAACCGACTCCAGCGACATTCCAGGCCTCATGAAGAGAACCTTCAAACCTTTCACCTTCCACTCAACTTTTTATTTATAAAATATATAACAAAAATCTAATTTTACTGGTCTTTTGTAATATTTTAAATTCCTGAGAAACATAATATTTTGTTTTGTGTTAGATCTAAGAAGTTTAAGCTCACATAAAACATATCACTTTGCAAAGAACATAAGTATCACTTCTTGAACTTTTTAGTGGTTTTCAAAATTATTGCACCTCTATGTAATGTAACAACCAGTAAAAATGCTAAAAATAACTAAACAGTCTAACCTGGTCAAAAGAGATACAATTACACAGATACATTATTTAAGCATAATTTGATTTTATTTTGTTGTGAATATAAAACTTGATAACATGTAAAATTTGTTTCCATTTTGATAATTCACTAGATTTCTAGACACAATATGCAGTTTGATAAGCTACTGCAACATAAAATATCTGCCTTAGCTGTTCCAAAATGTATTTACTGTAAGGCTTTCTGACAAAAACAGTGAACTAAATGCACTTCGCCACACTTTGTGTGTTCTCTCCCCACCCATAGTTGCAGGTCGATTTAAAAAAAAACAAACAAAAAAACAAAAATGGTCTTCTGCAGGCATCGCTCTTCAGCCTTTCAATACCCTTAAATTTGATTTGGATCTCATTAAGTTGGACCCACATAAAAAACACAAAGGTTAAAAAAAGGATTACGCCTTCCATCTCCTGATATTAAAATAAGCCACACTAAAGCTGGTGCAAAGAAGACAAACAGAGGCAATCTGGCAAGCAGATTTAGACTCCTTTGGTGTTGCAGACGGGGGTGGGGAGGGATTCGACTGACCCTGGATCAGAAATTGCAGAAGCTAGATTTTGGGTCAGCAGGTCGGTTGATCTGCTTTCCTGATGCAAGCCCCGGGGGAGCTTCTTATAGTGTCCTGTTTCAATAAACCTGAGGGGAAAACATTAGTACACAAGGGCACGTAAAGGCCACAGATGCGATTATGTCTACAAGGTATTACAGACAAGAGGTGGCAGAGTTTAGTGTGTCAAGTGTAGATAGTATCTTATTTGTAGCAGGCACTGTGTAATAGTCTGAATGAGTGACTAAGGCTTACAGGAAGCGAGAGGGAAACGCAGCTAGCTCAAATAAACACCGTCTTTTAGTAAAATGTTATTTTTCTACTGTCATGATCGCAATGCAATTGAAAAAATAAGGCCATTGTACAATAATTGGTCACAAAGTAGAAGACTTGTCCCAAGAAAATTTAAATTTTGAGATTCATTTCACAAAAAAACTTGGATATTCTCTGATGTCAAAAAAGTTGCAAATTTGCATGAAAAAGAATTACATGATTAAAAACATAAATTTACAATATAAAGCTTTTCAGACATTCATCCAGCAGCCAGATTTTTACTTTTAATACATCACTGATGAACATACTGCTTAATATATTCCATCAACTGACAGGTGCCACAATAACGAAATGATTAAAGTTGTTTCCTTCTAGTAGAGCCGGTAAATATAGCTTAAAAATAAAATCTCCAATTTTTTCCTGCCAACTCTGACTTCCGATTTTAATAGTTTTTTTTTCTCAGAAAATACTTTCAACTAGTACATTTTATTTCTGTCATTCCTTCTGTGACTTTTATGATGTTTTTACATTTTTGGGACAGGCTACTGTAATTTTTATTTAATTACAAGAATGTAGCCACAATATTAGCACAATAAAGACGCAATGTTACCAGAAGAAGATCTTGAAATAATAAGAAGAAAAGCTTGTATAAGTAATTTTTTGTGTTGGAGTCATTATAAAATTATTACTTCATTTTCCTAATATTACAACTTTATTCTGGTAGTATTAACACTTTATTCTCATATTATTTCAACTTTGTCAGATGACTTTATTCATGTAAAACACGGCAAACGTACAAAACTTAGCCAGACCGTTATGCTTTGTTAACCTGAATTCAAAATCCAAATAAGTAGAAGCTGTAAAATGCGGTTGTCAAACAAGATGGCGGCTTTGGGTGTGCTGTCATCACTCTGAACTATAGAAACTCAAGAAGAGCATTGGTGGGGAAAACATCCAGATTTTTCAAAATTTAAATCTTTAAAAACCAAAAAGATTGATTAATCAGTTTATGCTACAGCCCTACTGTCAATGTAAGCGGTCATAATGTTACAAATTCTTGGTGTATTCCACAAGCATACGTCTTCATGCTTGCTGTTTATTTTACCGTGTGCAACTGGATAAATATGATGTGATGTTTGCAGTGACCCTTCATGACCTCTCCAACAAACCAGGAAATGTGAAAAGATACAGACGGAACCTCAGAAATCTCTTACCATTCTGAATGTCAAGGACTTGTGGGTTGTAGACCGCTAAAGGCCGATTCTGTCGACTCACTTTCTTGGACTGCCTTGTGGGAGCAGATAACACTGGGCCAGCAGGTGACAGAGGTCTTAATTCTGGAGAATCTGTGAAGATCTGCAATGCACAAGTGAGTAAGTCTCTAACCAAACAACATGCATTGCACAGAGACTCTATTAGCAGAAGCACATCCTCAACTGACCTCACAAGTTTGAAAACTCAGTCTTTCTGTTGTGGTAGATTGGGGAAACAGTATTTACAGCTTTCAAAAAAGTTGCACAGCACACTGACTGGACAACAAAAATATATTGCGCTTAAAAAGATTTTATTTCTCCCTAAAAAAAAAAAAGAGAAAACAAGAGCAGCTCCACACAGACCATAAATCACACCCAATTCAAAAATATGGGTCTGAGTTAAGGTGACTTTTCCCCTCAGAGAAATTGACCCACTCTCTGAAAAAGCGAGAAATAAAATAAACACACTTTTGGACTTGAGAAAGGTTGGCGAAGTGGTGCAGGCTGTTTACACTGGACCATGTTTACATATAAACTTTAGATGTGGAGTTGAAAGAGAATAGGGCTACAGAGGAGAGGAAGTCTCAGCAGAGCCTCGGAAAGGATCACAGACGAGGGGGGAGGAAGGGGTGCAGAGTGAAGGGAGGAGAGAGAAAGTGGCAGAGAAAATGAGACGGAGTGTGAACGAGAGAGACGCAGAGGAGGGGAGGGCATGAGAGAGAAAGTTTGTAGAAAAGAGGCAGATAGGAAAAAAAAAAAAAAGTGAGAAATCTGATATGGCTGAGAGTTTCTGCTGCCTCGCTCTGCAGATGGAGGTGAATGTAAAACAGAGTCTAGTGTTGGTATCTGGGGGTATCAACAGTCTGGAGTGGGACTCAGCTGTGAGGAAAGTTAATGCCTGTCTGTCTGTCTGTCTGCTCAGCTTTTCCCCTGCTCTAACATGCTGTACTTTCCAAAATGCTCTTGCTGCATTCTAACACTACATCTTTTATCACCAGGCCGGCGTCGGGCACACTGGGTAGATTCAGAGTGGAGCTGTATACGTACGCAGGGCTGCTGATGCTTTTGCTTTAGCACATTTATATACCCTGTTGGTTTTCAGCTGCCTTCTGTGGGGTTCGCAAACAATTTTGGATTTGTGAGCTTGGGTAAAAATATTATACACAACGCATATCTTCAATTTAATGAACCAACAGGAAGGGGGTAAGAAAAAACGTTTTAAAGCTCAGGTTCTCATCTGACTCTGTGAAGGAAGAAGTGCTGCTCCTAATAGATTAGAAACCTAATCTCAGAACCTTTTCTGCTTTGACACAAAATCCTCTCCTTTTTAATTATTGCATTCAGAAAGACTGAGAATTTCAGAAATACAGAAAATATACACAATTATCTGATCATTAATCAAACTATCGGAACACCAGGTGTAGCAGCCAAGTTTAAGCACTTGGAGCTCCCCCTACTGGCCAGATTGAAATGTTTTGCAAGTTTAGGAACTTCAATTGATACCTTTCTTCCTGCTGTGCCAGAAGCATATTTATATCACTTATTATTTGCACAGAATGAGACACAATTTACAAAATTTCACATAATTCATGTTCACTTCCTGAACATTTGTTCAAAACAGAAATATTTTGTTGCAGTCAACAGAAGACAGGAAAGTCACGTACAATCTGGGTTTCTGATCAAATAAGTGATTTCTCTTTGTCACCAGCAATAACTTAACGTGATAAAAATAAAACAAGACTTGCAAACATATTTTTGCTTTGCTTGCACCTTCGTTATCCTTCAGTATCAAGTAATTACATGTCACCAACGGTGGTAAACATAGCCGCCTCATGCAGCTTTCTGTTTGTCACCTGATATTTCCGCATCTTTTTGTTCATCTTGAGTTTCACAGGACACATTGCCTTCAGTAAAAATAGCACTGAATGCCAAGTCGAAACACAATTATGAAGAAAATTTTGCACTGCCAGAATGAATCAAAGTCTCACAGTAGCTCCGTACAGTGGGGGATGCAGTTACTTGATCTCCTGCTGATTTTGTAAGTTTGCTCACTTAGAAATAAATGAAGACTCAATTTTTTTATTGTCTGTTTATCCAAAACCATGAAAAAACGTTTTTTTTTATGTAACTAAGATTAATTAGTATTATATCTGTTACTGCCCAGCCACAATTCTGGCTCTCATGTTCGTCATGTGCCCTTGTAGCACACAAATTACAATCAATCAATGTATGTATTTATTATAGATAGCCTTGACCTTACCCTAATGATGTTACTAAAGAACATCTACCCAAAGAATCGGTTTCTTCCATTCTAACATTCCCACAAGAGATGCATCAAGAAGCAGGCTGGTGACTGGAATAGGCAGCATGTCAGTTTGATTGGCCCTGAGTGGTGACAGCAGAGTCAGAATGAAAAACAAATCTGATCAGTGAGCAGACCCTGCCTTTAGCACTACTAGGTCATGGGTAACAATAACACTCTTCAATGTGGAAGCTGATAATGGGAAGGAAGACTTCAAATTATCTATATTTAGTGTCAGTGAGAGATCAGATGAGAAAGTCAAGACCTCGAGAACAGGGTAGAGCGCCCTCTAAGGGTCGGGAGACGTTTAAAGTGTAACTAATCCCCAAACTGAAAAACTGCCTAAATTGGTTACTTTGGTACCATCTTTATGTTTCTGAGCAAATTTTTACAGTTTGGTGTAAATTTGTTTAGTTTTGCATAAAACCGTCTCAGTGCTGGCCTCTTTGGGCTGAACGGGGCCTAACCAGGTGAATTCTCCTAGATGTTTGAAATGGGATGACTTTACGTCACTCAGCCCGATTCAGGAATAAAACCGTCTGAGTCAGACACACAGTCCCACCTGGTGGCGAGTCAGTAATTATCACTAACACTTGGCTGCCGCTGATGCTGCCAAAGGTAACTAAACCAGTTATTAGGTTGAGGGGATAATCACTTTTCACCCAGGGCCACGTAGGTTTCCAATTTCCTTCTCCTTTAATAATAAACACCTTCATTTAAAAATACTTGTGTTGTCTTTTACTAATAGTTAAATTGCTTTAATGTTCTGAAACATTTAAGTGTGACAAACATGCAAAAAAAAAGGAATTGAGAAAGAGGGACAACACATTTTCACTGCATGTGTGAGCTAAACTTTCAAATCAGAAAAGGATCAAATAGGTATTTTCATAACCAAAGTTTTAAGTTACATCCCATAGAAAAGGTGCAATTGTAAGTGAGAACTGCTCTAAGTAAATGATAAATCTGCGCTACCTTTTTATGATGTTCAATGAGGATTTCCACAACAATGTTTTGGAACTTGAGATCCATGATGGCAGCGACGGTCTCCTCCTGCGGCCTCATCAGCGTGGGACCAAACACCACGCCCAGGTTGGCGACGGTCATCAGATTCTGTTTGCTGTGAGCTGCAACGCTGAGGGAAAAGAAAGATCCTTTAACATTTTAACTCAACGACCCAATTCAATGTTATGCCACATTAATAAGAGACAGAAGTCTGCAGGGACAGAATTTGTGTATTGAAACAAATTGCAACCAAAAAGCAACATCATCAAATAAATTATCCAACTTTGCTCAGATATGTATTCATATTGCACCATAATGCTGAGTTTTATATATAAAAATAAAAAGTGCAAGTGTCTACTAATGACAGGACTACACCCCTGGTCAGCTTTAATGAAGTCGTATTTTTGGCCTATTTTAGATTTGATCCTGTTACAATTACAAACTTCAAGAATTTTTGAGAAGACTTTATGTGGCATCCAACAACCATGATGCATGCTTGTAAAGCAGAAAGAAAACAATATTTTTTTATGGATAAAAATCTGAAAAGAGTAATGTACATTTTTATTCAACCAATATTTTGCCAATTCTTTTCTGTAAAATACCTCAGATTCAGTTTGGATATAGAGAACGTAGATTTATACAATTTCTTTGAAGTGTTATGATCACATCTCCAATGTTTTCATAACGGAAAACATATTGGAGATGCAAAAGAAAAAAAATTAACTGCTTTAAAAAGGTATTTACAAAAAAAAAAAAAAACTACTAAAAAAACCACCCCTTCTTAATCTTATATTGTATCATGTACTTGTGTATGTTTTCCATAAACGGGTTGCTTAACATATTGAAGTCAATGTTCTTTTGTAGGATGTTTTCAAAATAGTATAATTCATTAGTTTTGATCTATGGCATCTATTTTGTATTTGTTTATCTTTGTAGTTATTTTAGTTTTGAATATGTTTGGGCTATGTGCGCCATATGTTTTAGCTGTTTAAGTTGAATGTGTGGAACCTAGGAAGAGTAGATGCAGGAACTGATCCAAAAGACGCCAACAAATTTCCAGTTTTGTCACAGATTCTCTGTGAAATTTGGATAGTTTTACAAGATCTTTCAGGATTTACAGTATTTTGCTCCATCCATCTTCATATTAATTCTTACCTCTATTCCCAATCCCATTTCAGAAAAGAATCCCATATAATAATGCTACCACCACCATGTTTGACTGTGGGAATCGAGTGTTCAGGATGAAAATATGCTATTTTCCAAGTTTACCAAATGTTAAAGGAAGGTCTCACCTGATCAGAGAGCATTGTTTCACATGTCTGCTCTTTACACTACATGTCTTGTGGCGATCTGCAGAAGCAATTATTTGACTTTTGTTTAGCAATTATTTTGCTTTTATTGCTCTTCTTAAGGCCAGATCTGTTGAGTATTTGACTTCAACTTGTCTTCCGGACAGATTCCAGAAGTGAATATCTTCAGCTGGTCTCTATGCTTTTTGATCACCAATGGGAATAGTTTGCACTGGATTTTCTTTTACAGAAAGAGAAAAGATAGATAAATACAAAATCATCTATCTTGTGTTGGTCTGTTGCACAAAAATCCCACTAAACTCGTGGAAGTTTGCGGTTGTAAAATTAAAAAATGTGAAAAAGCTCAAGAAATATGAATACTCTGAACATCCATTTCAAAACTAGGACAGCAAGGTGGTCATAGGAGTGGAAAAAACCCTTAATTTCAAGTTATCTAGACTGGTGAAGAGATTTCACACTCAAACACGATGATGCGTGTCAGAGCTGAAGAGAGACAGTTTAAATAGCTTCAAAGAGTGCCTTTGAAGACAAAAACATTGGTGACACTCACATTTATAACATCTCTGCAACCATTTCAGATACGAGTGTGAAATTCTGGCTTTGCTTCCTTCCCCTGCAGGACATGCACACACGCCAACTTTAGAAAAATATTCAAGTCTCCAGTCTGGAGAATTTCACGCTGGATAATCCAAATTCAATTTCAATAGCGCTGCCTTATTTTTTTTTTTTCTAAACTAGAGCCTGATTCTACAGCGGGTTTCAATGAAATAAGACTCACCAGACTTCTACTGCCTCAGGGAAGAGGGATTATTTACTTATCTTCAATTTGCTCATATTTAGTTTATAAAAAGCTTGCTGAGGTAAAACCTTGTAATGTTGGCAAACATTATTTCCTAAATATTTTCCTTTTATCTAAATGCTAAATAAGTGATTCATAATAGAGGGCCAACCAGGGGTGAAAATAATGCTCTTTGATAAAAAAAATAAATAAATAAAAGCTCCACTTTGACTCTATTGTTGTTCTGAGGCCACAAATGGGCATGGCAAACAGGTACAATAAGCCGATATAATTATCCCCTTTAAGCAACTTGCATGAAAATTGCCCAAGAAAAGACAAAAAAAAGTCAAATTTGTTAGCAAGCAGTGAGTAGACATGGAAGAGATGGAGTGACAGCAGGGAAGGGGGAGTGAAGAGAGTGGGAGTGAGGGAGATGGAGAGAAAAAGCATGTGGAGTGAGAACGAGGAGACAGACATGAAGAGCAGAGAGAGAGAACTGAGAGAGAGGAGGCGGAGATTGGGTGAACTATGACCACTCACTTGGCCAGATGCTTCATGAGCAGCCCGAGGACTAGTCGGTTCCTCTCCGGTAGTTTGTGGACCAAGTGGTGGATGGCTTGGATGCGAGACTCGGGACTGCCGCCCTCTATTCAAAACGCAGGAAGAAAAAACAGCCACGCACTCATTTTAAACTACAAGGATTTTTAAAGTGGCAAAGAGCCAGAGCTGCTCAGATCAAATATTAAACTTCCATCAGGCGATTCAATGCTGAATACTCAGTTTATCTGAGTTGTACACAAACAGATTTTGAACTGAAGTTGAAGAAAATAAATGAGAGTGAAGAAAAAAGTTTTATCACTTCAAAAAAAGCATGTTCATTTTATTCATCTAGACACTTGAAATTGAAGGAGACTTTTCAGAACACCGTCTTAGGAGTGATCACCCTTACTGTGAAAGATTACAGATTACAAGAAGACGCCTTCCTGCTCAAGCAAAGAGGTGCGATGAGTTGAACCTTCTCTGAATTTGGCAGCAGAGTCCAAATAGCTGGCAGGAGGGAGACGGCTCTACGCTGCTGTCGCTATCGTGTTAAAAAAAGGTTGCATAAAAACCTCCAAGATCAAGTCTTAAACATTTCCTCACATGTGAGCATCTGAACGCCCACGCTGCAGCGCACACAGACACACTAAATATCATTACTATGGGAACGACAAGGATTTAAACATGTGGGGAAAAAAACAGCTTCTTATGGATGCTGTCATCCATCAAAAAAATAAAAAAAATAAATAAAAAATTCACTGCTAATCCATTTTTCCTCCCCTCGTTATGAGGGCATTGCGAGTGCCTGATAAAAACATCATCCTGATCCAATTACAGCACTTGTTGTAATAAGACTCAAGTTTGGCTCGCTTTGAAGGCAATTCATGCAAAAAATGATGCCGTGTGGGTGGGAGAGAAACTACCGTTTTTACAGCTGAAGGTTACCGGACAATTATGATCTAAAACCTCCATTAGCTTATCGTCTTTATATGTTACAGTTGTAAAAGGTATGCAGATTTTGTCAACAAAAGTTGTAGGAAAATATGAATAATTCTAATTTTTAGGACAATTAGATTGATAAAGAAACACTTCTAAAGTCAAATATGACAATATATGATATCTACAGAGCTACTTAATGGCTGCTACAAAAATAATTATAAAGACAAACTATGATGTCATTTAAATTTAAAAAATTTAAATGCATTAGAAACACATTCTATTCCCACTTACAACCTAAAGAATGGTTTAACAATTTGGAATCAGTTTACATAAAATGAGGGGAATTAAATGTTCAGCTGTTCAGAAAGCAGAAGTGACTGCATTTCTTTTTCAAACTAAATAAACATAAACATAAATAAACAGAAATATATTAACATTTAGCTACGAATCGCTGAAGCAACATTTGGATCAAATCTATTAACTTTTCGTTTTAAAGCACCCTTCATACTAAACATAAATCCAAGTGCTGTATGAAATTAAAAACAACAACCCTGAAAAATTAAAAACTAATAACATGTTGTGTTGATTATACATTTGATATGTGGAATCAAATTAAGTGCAGGGCTGAAAAGAACCCGCAGTTTCTGAAGGGATTTTTAATTTCTCTCAGCCTCATGTCCAATGATTTAAACTTGAGCTTTGTTCTGATTGAACTGCAGACAGTTTTCTACCATCAAGGTGTTTATATCCAAGACAAAATAATAATAAAACTGTTTTTATTGCCCAGGGATCATTAGGAAATACAAATATGTTTGTGTGTAGCAGTGGAAGCTCATTAAATGCCTCCTAATGATCAAGTGCAAATTAAAAAGTATGTGGGGCCTAAAATAGAGCCTTGGGGGACACCAAAGCAAGTCTCATGAATTTGTGAGGAGCACAGTTATATAACCAACTCATTTCTGAGAACTGCTTCACATCTGTGTTGCACTGAGTCAACTTCTAGCCTCTGATCAGATATGCCAGCTTTGGATGACTGGACCACACTACACAATTCCTCTGCGATTCTGGGTTTGGCTACAGAAACAACAGGTTTTATATCACCCAATGATCATTTGTATATTTCATATTAAATGTGCAAAATGATCTATCCTGATCTTGTTGTCACTTTGAGAGATAACACAATCTGCTGTTGAGACGTAATTTTCATCTG